ATATAAAAATATAATATGGGGCAGCAGCAGCAAGACTACCTGCAACCCTGAGTTACAACTTTCATGTCTCTCATCACTCAAAGCACTTTCACAGTTTATGAAGGAATTACGCTGAGGCAAAAGAACAAGGACTTGATTACAAATTATACTGAACTCGATGGTGCACAATTTACAACAAATGAATGCTCTCATCCTTGGAAGAACCAAACGCTGATAACAAATATGACACAAAGGTTGTGTGACGAGACACTTATCTGCCACTGACAAACATATTTATTTATTAATGACAAAAACAAAAATGGGACACAAAGGAAAAACATCACATACTGACAAAAACAGAGGAGGTGAAGTGCTAGAGGGCTGCCGGTCCATTAACTGGATAGCTGTTGTCTGCTTGAAAATGTAGAATTTTTCTTACAGAATAATAAAAAAAAGTGTCTGCATTGTTGTTCCTTTTGAGAACAACTGAAGTCCATATAAATGTCAAAACTGTGGCTGGCATTTGTTCAGTACCGTCTTGACAATAAAATAATTGTTTTCTCCAGTCCATGCTTTGATAAAAAAAAACTGTCTGTGAGTGTTGTGGTGAAAAAGAAAAATCACCGCAAATCCATCATGGACACAGTGTCATCTGTGATGGTGACATGTCCCGCTTGCTGAAAAGGAGAGAGGAGAAACAGACCTGTGACAGTCTGCCCACGTGAACTGAAAAAGGCTACAATGCAGCCTGAAAATAAAGATTATCTTCACACATTAAAAACAACCATTATCAAAAGACATTTTAAAAAGCAGAAATTAAAATATTTAAAATCCCTTTCCAATTTTTAAGAACTTGCCTAACAAACAATCTGCCTATTTTGATTTAGTTTATGATACCGGAACCAGAGGTACAAAAATGCTAACTCAGCTCCAGGGATTAGGACTCACCGCTGTGACACTTGATGATGATAATGATTCTTGACTCTAGCACAATGTTGAAATAAACCAATTGGTATTAGAAGAAGGTGTCTCCTGAATATTGTCGTCCCCACCCCTTTTTAAACAAAGACAATTCAGAAAGAGAAACTCACTGTAAATAGAGGGGGGTCTTTGCTGTGAGGGTGGAAGCCTTTCTGTTTACATGTGGAGATCTCCTCTGTTCCTCGGTCCGTTAACCGGAAGTAGCCGATTCTGGGACAAACACAAGCGCACCTTAGGACAGACTTTCACTGGCGGCAGACTGATAAACACATCTGAGAAAAGGAAGGAGACAGAGTTCAAATCAACTCCTGACCAGTGGTCTTCTGACTTACTCATTGAACTTAGGTGAGCAGACAATAGCGATGGCCTCTGGCAGCATCATCTGGTAGGAGCAGTGTGTGTGGAGGTCAACACTGGACAGGAAGGCCGTCTGTGTAGGGTGAGTCTGGGGGGGGGGAGAGACAAAAAAAAAAAAAGTCCAGACTTCACTTCACTGGGTTCAACTGTAAAAGGTGAAAAGGTAAAAGTCTTTATGATGTTATATTCTTGTGAGTATCAGATATGCCAAACCACTTCCTACTCAGGTTAGTTAGTACTTTGTCAAAGGGCTGAGACGCACGTCAAAGAACCAGCAGTGACGAAGGCCTACTGTTGCACTGGTATATGGCTGCTTCTAATCGAGAATATGTCTGACAAGAAGTTGCAAACGGCACTGGTGCTGTCAGCTCTTGGTCTTTTGGTTGTGGAAGAAGAAGGAGGTTGTGGAGGTAGAAAATAAGGACAAAAAGTGTGCAGTCACAGCGACCATGAATCTATTACTGAAACTACTGAAATATTTTAAAATGACTGAAGTACTGGAAAACTAAAAACACACCAGACACAAAATACAGGATTTTTCCTTTGAGGCACAGATGTTTGAGCTTGTACCTCTGTGCAGCTCATTACTCACATGTATCCAGCCCAGGGTGATGAGATCGTACTGGTCCTGTATGAGAAAGAGTTCCTCCTCGTTTTCCGTGTCACAGTAGTCTGGGCCGCCACACTGCTTTGGTACGATAACATGGGTCACAGTAAACGCATTTCTGGTCTGGAACAAACAAAAGAGGTTTATTTAAACACTTATAAATCCACATTTTTAGCCTGATTAATACTAATTATTTTCATTATTACCAACACTGGTGCAGAGTGTTTCTTTTTTTAAAACCATCTCAGGCTTTGGAATTCAATGATACAAAATTACAGTTTCACTAATGATTAAAACTCAGATGAAAACATTAACATCTCATATAAAGCATAAAAAGCATACAAGTGCAAAATACAAATATGCCATATGTTTTATTACGAAAAATGAACAAAAATTGAGGTCTGACTCTATGGCAAAGAAACTATTACGCAATGATACGAGGTCGTTTTGGAAAGATGTTAAACATACTAATAATAGTAGACTCTCTCTACCCTATACTATTGATGGAATTTCTGGCCCAGATAAGATAGCTGAGCTTTGGCGGCTCCATTATTGCAATTTATTTAACTGTGTTCCCAGTGAAGTCTTCCCTGTAAGCAGGGTTGATTTTGTTGAAACTGTTAAAACCTGTGAAGTTTCTCGAGTGATAAATAATTTGTCTGCAAATAAGTCTACTGGGCTGGATCGTATTTCTGTAGAACACCTTAAGCATGCTAGTTTGAGGTTGGCTCCTCTTTTAGCTATATGTTTTAAGTCTTGTGTTATACATGGGTTTTTGCCTGACTCCTTGATGACGTACTTTTAGTCCCTGTGGTGAAGGATAAAGCGGGAAAGGTGGCCAGCTCTGATAATTACAAACCTATTGCACTTGCTAATAGCACTTTCTAAAGTTATTGAGGTAATTCTTTTTAGTAGGTTTTGTAATCTTATTGGCTCCACTGAGAACCAATTTGGGTTTAAATCCAATCATGGCACTAATATGTGTACATTTGCACTAAAGGAATTGGTTAGTAAATATAAAAGTAAGAATTCCACTGTATTTATGTGTTTTTTAGATGCCTCTAAGGCCTTCGATCGGGTGAATCATAGGAAATTATTTCAGAAATTGTGTGATGCCCATGTGCCTAAATATATAGTAAGATGTTTGTCTTATTGGTATGCCTGCCAGTCTATGCTTATTAAATGGGATAATTGTACATCCAATCCTTTTCAGACCAATAACGGGGTAAGGCAAGGTAGTTTGTTGTCCCCGATTTTGTTTAACTTTTATATGAATGATCTTTCAAAAAAGTTAAATATGTGTAGAACGGGTTGTATGGTTGGTGGTGTTGTAGTGAATCATTTAACGTATATTTTATTTAACTTTTATATGAATGATCTCTCAAAAAAGTTAAGTATGTGTAGAACGGGTTGCATGGTTGGAGGTGTTGTAGTGAATCATTTAATGTATGCAGATGACCTTGTGGTATTTAGTCCTAGTGCAGCAGGTCTTCAGCAGCTCTTGAATGTGTGTTCTGTATTTGGAGGTCTTTATGATATTAAGTATAATGCTGTTAAAAGTGTTATTATGATATGCTGCTCAAAAGAGGACAGGTCCCTTGTATTTCCTTTTTTTAAGATATAGGGTAATATTTTAACTGTATGCAATGAAGTGAAGTATCTGGGTCATGTTATAAATTATTGTTTGACCGATGTATCTGGGTCATGTTATAAATGCTGTATGTTGTATGTGCAAGCAAATGTATTGGCGCGGAAATTTGGTTCATGCTCGGATGGGGTAAAATTGACTATTTACAGCGTATTGTTCCTCTTTGTACACTGCCCACCTATGATCTAATTATAAAAAAGGCAGTCTTCGGAAATTGACTGTGGCTTATAATGATGCCTTGAGACTATTACTGAAAAGGCCTAGATGGGTGACAGGTGAATTTGGTGCTTCTGGTGACAGAGCTGTTCAGAAGAGGATGCTCTGTTCTTACCAGTTTGCCACACAGGATGCCACAAGTTTCTACAGCTCGGCTTGTGTTGGCCTCGGCCAACCTCAGAAAGTTCCGGCATAGCTCAGCGGGAACAGCCAACTTCCGAAGGGCATCCACCATCGTATCTGCAACACCCACGTACAGGAATAAACAAAAGCTGAATGGTGGAGTAAGTTTTTTGTGACCTTCTAAAAACTAGACATGGTGCAGACAGGAAAGTAAATAGCTCATGAAGAAAAACATCAGCTCAGAAGAATAAAGACATAAAAGCGGGAGTTTGGCAGTATTTAAATCCCCTGAAGGAAAGGCCCTCATGTCAGAAAAACATTTACTCACTGTTGTTCCCTGGGCTGACCAGAGACTCAGGCTTGAGCGATCGGTTGAAGCTTGGTGGATCCGTGGCAGGCGTGCTGATGGTGGCGGGAGGGCGATTGTACTGGTGGTTCATGGTGCCCGATAGGTCCCCTGGGCTCTGTGGGGGTGTGGGGGAGATAAGCGAGGGCCCTTGGATGCCTGGAATGAGGGGCATGTCAGGAGAGGGCTTGGCAGGTGTGGCAAACTCCAGAAGCACACGCTGGCGTTCCTTCTCCAGCTCCTGGCGCCGGATCATCTCTTCAAAGGCACTGAACTGTTCCTGCTCCCGCTGCCGCCGCTGCATCTCTGCCACACGCTCCCGCTCGGCATCCAGCGCTCGCTGCCTGGACTGCTCCTGCGCCAAGGCCACCTCCTCCTCTCTCTGGACACAAAACAAACACATCACATTCTTGCAACTTTGTGTTTCAACAGGTGAGCTCTCTCTTTTGGTTACTGTTCTTTTATCCAAGAAAGACAAACAAAGCAAATGATGTGACATGAGATTTGCTGATCTTCTGGTGTATGATGATGAATGTCTGTTTCAATCACTGTATTAATAAACATGACTATTCAAGGTCAGTGTTTTCTTTTTCTCCATTTTGTCTGATAATTAATGGAGGCAAAATAATGGATGTATTTATTTATTACAATAAATAAATAATGCTGGTTAATGTTTCACCCCATTTACAGTACAGACAACACACTGGACAATATTTATGCTGTAAATGTGCAGTAACAGTTTCTCAAATATAAGAAACCGCAAACACATGAAGGATTAGAGGTTGATAGACACTTTACCTTCTTGACAAGATACTGGGCATACTCCTGTTCAAATCTTTTCAAAAGAGCTTTTTTCAGAATCTCGGCTTGAGGAAATGCAACATCCTTCACTTTCTACAAAAGAAAGAAAATTCAGCCAAATGCTGAGCTTTAAATCAAATGAAATCTGCTATTAAAGACAGTTTAAGAACACTGTATACGCACCTTCAGTGTATCTTTCCTCTCAGGAATGTTAGCAGTCTTATAATCCCGATGCTTGGGAAGTTTTTCTACAAAGAGCCTGCGGAAAAAATAAACTCTTTTTATTAACTGACTGAAAATGCTTATTCAAAGCCATGGCCCCCATTTGCTAATAAAATCATCATTTAGGCTAATCACAGACTCTGCAGACTTTGGCTGGAAACGTCTGTGTTAGGCTTCTTGCAAGTTCCCTCCAAACTTGACAAAACAAACAGAATGTATTTATTTGTACTCCCAAACTCAGCTGGAAATGGCAACATTATCTAAAGGGCAAATTAATAAATATTTCAATAAACTGAGCAAACACAATTTAACAAATACACTCACGTGATGTATTTATTGTACAGGACGAAGGCGTGCTCGATGTTGCCCTCATCTGTGTAGACGTTGGCCATGCGGATCATCTCCATGCCTGAGCGGAAGTAACGCCGTGGGGGCACATCTTCATTAACCTCTACCGTGCTCCCCTTCTTGGTCAGAGCACGGACCCGCTCTTCTGGCAGCAGACTGATGTCAGAGTGGTCTGCCATCACAAAAAGCCCAACCTGGAACACCAGGAACCCAAAACAAAATAATCGAAAAGAAGAGGCTCCATGACTTTTTTTCCTACTCTATATTGATCAAGTAACATCAAATGTGAGATCACTCCATGAGTGTGCTGACTAATAGTCAGACAGCTTGTATTGATGGCTTCTTGGCTAGCAGGTACAGCCCACAGCAACACACAAAGTCTGTCCAGACATGTTTACAAAGCTTAGCTCAGTAGGTGCAGGAAGCTGCATGCTGTTTAGTGTCTTTTGTCTTAAGTGCCGTAGCATCAGTCTAGGCAACAAAAGGAACAAGAGGATCACAAATTTATGATGATAACTTTATGATGACAGAAATGCTCCAGGTAAAATGTATTTTGTCATTGCAGAGAGAGGGAGAGACAGTAAATGGGAAAATCACTACTGGAACATTTTCCGCCTCTTTTAGATCACTTTAGTGCTCTATGTCCTAGCAGTCAACATGATGATAATGGCGATGATGATGGGCTATTATATTTCAACTGAAGTAAGGTATAAGCTGATGAACTGCATGCATGATTTGCCATTTGTGTACGTGATGTATTTGTAGCTCGTTTTTCTTTTGAAGAAGAATTTCTGTTCTTTGGTGACGTCTGTGTTGGACTTCACACGTAGTTCAGCTCAATCACTCATCTGGCTAGTGCAGCTCATTTTTGAGCTAAAGTTACTACTACCCTACTAATTAAAGAAGGACCTGACGGTGGGTTTCAGGCACTACTAACTTCAAACTGGGACTTTACTTGATATGCGCGGTGCATATGCGTGACACGTTTGATCTGTTCAATCCACAATGACTCCAATCTCTGTGCAGCATCTCTCGTCAGAGCAGCTGTCAGTCAGCAGGAGGACAGCATGGACTTCATCAGGCTGACTGACAGCAGAAACGTACTGGACAAAAATAGTTTTCATGTAGGCTCATCAGCAAAGAATCAGGAGTGTTTATATGTTCTGATTTATTTATTTTGCCATCTTGGATGAGGAAAAGTAAAACCAGAGAGCTTAGTGACACCAGGAGCCTGATCCATCACAAAAGATTCAAGTTAAAACAGATGATCTACCTGATTTACCTGGCAACTGCACTTCAAATGCACCAAAGGAAAAAACACTTTAAGTGTAAAAAAGGGGTCCAGGTGCAGGGATGACGTGCGTGTCTAGGAGTTGGTGTGTGTCAACACATTTGATAGACTGGAAGGCTCTGCTTCCTGAGACTAGTGAGTGATAAATCTGCAGATAACTGTTGGGATGGCAGTATTGCAGATACTGTTCTATATTGAGAGCAATTGTTTGTAGATAACCTGTTTATTTTTCAGTCGCACCCAGTGGAACTTTTGAAGAATGTCAGTCACGCCTTAAATAAATATGGCTGCAATATGCAACTTGTCACTCTCACAGTCTGGAGCCTTGCTAAACCTAACTCTATCACAACAGCAACTCAGTACTATTCTGAATTACAATATTGGTCTCATTTACTTGCAATTAAGGTACGGGTGCTTGGATTGACCAAAAAACTGAGCACTTGTAAAAAGTGAATTACAATGAATTACAAAGAAAACTATATTTTCTTTAAAGGTTGGCTGAAACGTGGACTCTTGTTCGGAGTGACCCTCACCATGACCATAACGTTACCTCTATGGTTTTGAAGCATATTAAAGGGAAAGTCACCACTAAACACATTGACGATTCACTCACATTTGGACTCTCATCATCAGGATTGTCTATACGTTCATAACTATACAACTACATTAAAGCTGAAAACTTGTGAAACCAAGGACCCTTCAGTTAACGTTAGCTGTAACAGAGAAACGTCAAAAGGTCTAGCACTAAAACAGACAAAATGCGAAACTGTGGGCCCTTTTCAGCTAAAGTTTGCCTTCGATTCATTTATAAACCTCTTCGGCCCCAGTATCTTAGGGCTGTCATAAATGTATACTTCCCCTTAATAAACTTTTGATATCTACCCAACCCTTCCATTGAAGTAATCAATGTTTCTGTGTCGCGTTAGCCATGCTAGCATAAGTTAGCTAACTTAGCTAAGCCAGGCTACAAATTTAAAACGACAAAGCAGCTAGAAACCACTGAGGAACTTTATATTCATTCGTACCTGATCGAGCAGTTAACCCACGCCCAAAGAGGCTCACATTCAGCTGTTTAAAAAGACTATCAAATGTTAAACTCCTAAAGCAGTTTGCTTTAGTTAGCTACGCCTACAGTATCTGTACTAATATCCCTATACTTCCGCCGTCAAAACAACTTCCGCCTGACGTGTCATCACGCCAGCGGAGACGGATATCGATTTAATAATAGATATCAATTACAAGATCTTTAAAACAAACAAACAATATAAATAAAAGTATCTTAGCTGGTGCTAGTTGTTGTTAAGTGCACCTTAAGTAGATTTATACAATTTATTTGAATCAGTACAAGAAAAAAATGATAACAGTCATATGGTTGACTTACTATGTCAGGGTTCTAACATAGAAAGTCAAACGTGAGGCAAAATTACTCATAAAACTCAAAATTATGAGGTAAATGTCATATCGTCCTATTTGCTTACAGGGCTATTATGTGCTAGGAAAAATACTCCCTTTCAAGCAGCAGTTATGCATTAACAAGTTTACTTAAGCAAAGGTTTTCCCCCCTTAAAACAGTATTTAAATAAACATACTTAGCATTCACCTATTATTAAGAAGAAGAGGACAATCGAGGAGAAGATGATAAAGGAATTTTCTGATGCAGTAAACTCAA